CAACAGCACGGAACGATGTGGATGCCGGTTTAAGTCCTGAGGTTCTAGCTTTCTATAGAATGTTTAAGTTTCTTTTAATTTATTTTATATCAAAAAATAGTGACCTGCAAATTTGTGCATTCTTAACCTATTTGGTAGTGTGACTGTTGATGGAATTTATTTTCTGGTTTTACACTATTTATAGTATCTTTTTTCATATTCATCAATTGAGTAACGATAAGCGTGGATAAAATATTCTACAGGTTAAAGCCGAATCCATTTCTGGGAATCGGTGATTTCGTAAACCTTTAGAGACGAACGATAACATAAAGGCAACAAGAGGGTAGTTTGTTAATATTTGAAGACGTCCGTCGTTTAACGTTGCTTTGCTCATTTATTGTTCTGCCGCCGCACGCAAACGACGTGCTTGTGGAATAATTTAGTAAATGACTAATTGAAAGATAGATACCGTTTTCTATCGATACAAAAAAGAAAATTTTAGAATCAATATATAAATGTGATATTTTTTGACTTCTATATCCAAAAAAAAACACTTTAACGGTTTACGTAGGCTTATGTACCTCAGCCCTATTTATGTGCAACTAAAAAAAAAACCCCCCCGGGGAAAGGGGGGAAAAAAAAAGGGGGGAGGATCCCCCGGAAAAAAAAAAAAAAAAACCCCCGGGGCCCCTTTTCCCCGGGGGGGGGGGGGTTGGGGGAAAAGGCCGGCCCCCTTACAGAATTAACAAACGGTGCCTCCGCGCTTGCCGTTATGCTGTTTATGGGATAAACGTTTATGATATAAATATTTGTAATTAGCGTCCTCTTTTTGACTATTATTATTCACCCAAAAATCATAGCATACCCTGCAGCTTTTAAGGCGTCGGACCGAATCTGAATTAAAAATCATTTTCAAATAAAAGTTTAACTAATCCTATCGAATTTAGCTACTTATCAAAAAAAATTAAGCTTATATGTCATTTATAAAAAGGTCTTAAAGTCATTAATTGCGAAATAAATTAGGTATTATGTTAATCACATTTCATTGCTCCATTCCCTTTATTTATTAAAATATATATTTAAGAACTTTGCAACGAAATAAATTAAAATATAATATAAAACTTCGATTAGAATCTAAACAAATTATATTGTTTGGTACATTATCTTATTCAAACTACGCTTCTAAAAAATAAATAAAAGTATTGATTAGCGTTCACATTAAATCAATTCAGACAAAACAGGATTGTTAACTTGTTGTTTGTTTACCTTGATCCAATGTGAATTTATTAACTCTGTGAAAATGTTCCTAAAACAAATTATATGAAATATAATTATTTTGATATAGCTAAGCCCGAGAAAATGATTGATGGCACTAATTGCTTACTGGTGAAATGAATAATTACATTGTCACTCACAGAAGTTATATATTTATAATAATAGATTATTAACCTGTCAAACAACATTTGCTATACTAGAAATAGAAAAAGGAGCTTTTAACTTTTGTTCATTTTTATAGCAAAGATTACAACTAACTTAATAACACCTCGCATTTATTACTTCTAGTTATAGGACCGCCTCTGTAGCCAAATGGTTAAACGTATTGCCTAAATAAGCGCCAGAGGTTGGGTTCGAATCTCAGGGAAACAAAAAATTTTTTCGTTCAGGAAGGGCACTGAAGTCTGGTCAACTCCTTGCCTGTTAAAGAAAAGAAGGGAGACAGAAATGTATTCACCCCATGCCCCACGAGGGGGAAACGGGATTTCACACTATTTAGACACTATGCTGAATGAGTTTTTTTTATAATTATTTATTTAGGTAAACTTCTCTTTATTTGTTATAAAGATTACCTATACATTGAAAGAGGCCTCAGAATATCAGTGTTGGGACATTAGTCCCAACATAGCTGAGTAGCTTCCTTTTTAGAGGCAACTATATTGTCGTATTTAATTTTATTCACTTCTTGCTATTGATTATTCACATTAAGATTTAATGTTGTTTCTGAATAAACGTGTACTGTCTAAATAGTAGTTTAATATTTATTAATTATTATCAATATTATATGGGTGATTACAGTCCCTTTTCCAGTAAGTAAGGGCATGGGGTACACATTTTTAAAAAAGTTTTGTACTGTGTAAAAGTACATTTACCCGCAACCACACCGCGGTCAGAAAGACTCAATTACAACGGAATTTCCACTTCATTGACCACTGGTCAAGCCTCCCCTTAACTTATCCCAAACTGGAGTTATTCTTTAGCCCATTTATTTCTGGTCCACTACAGGTTACTTCCGTTCGAGAGCCCCTCAAAGTCTCGCAGACCGAGATTCACTGTTCCAATATCATAGTGGTTTGCGATGCAGAAAATTGAACGGATTTCGGTCATAGGAGACTGCTTTTAAATAAGCCGAATTGCACTATATTGTGTATAAGCTAGGAAAAGCTTTTTAAATTATTTGTTTGATATTTTTATAATGCAACCGTTGAATTTTATCTTCATTGCAAGTGCCACCTGCTTATTACGTAAAATGTTTGCGTTTGATGCATGTTAAATTTTAATTTTTCCAGACAATAATGTCTAGTTTTACAGATAAAAGCTCTTGTGTATTTGATATCATACGTACATATTTACATTATATGTTTTTGTTTATTAAATTACTTTATAAATTAAATATATCCAGAATTAATGTTTTATTAATATTTTTAGTTCCGAGTGAAATTGAACACATTTAATTTAAAACAAAAGAAGGTTTTTACCGGAACGGACGAAAGACGGAAAAGTATTTTTACGAAGTAAAACATACATAAACAACGAAAAGCATCGCGCGTCGATAAACAGACGGACAGCGTGACCCATATGTCACATTATTGCGCTATAAATAACACGACCATATATTATATTGGACTTTCAAGTTTCGCTATTTGGCAACATATTAGCAAGTACCATAATTCCTAGCGTGGTTGACATAGAATACAGACATATATAATCTGGCTCGTTGAGCGATTACTAGAAGAGAGGTAATAGGAAAGGCATTTTTCGATTCGCAAGACAAATTATTATTTTTTATTATTAACTACCTGTGCTCGCGACATCGTCCGCGTGAAATAGTTATTTATTTTTGCAAACATAGAAGTTTGATCAACTACTTGCCCATTAAAAGAACTGATCAGTGAAACGGACACAGAAATATGTTCGCCCCGTGTCCCACATGGGGGACAGCAATTAACAATTGTTTTATTCGAACCAGTATCAAATAAAGCAACGCTTTAGCTTTATAATGTCAGTATAGACTAAGGACTATTAAAGGAAAGGCCTTCCTTTAGTGGTCTTTAGTTTCCTTAACACACACATATATGTTATTGTAAATTCCTGAATGTCAACATAGCATAGTTCCCCCTTGTAAAAGAGGCTCAAGTGTCGCAAGACGTAACTACGACCCCTATTAACACGATTTAGCGGCAATACAAGCCTCCAAGATCGCTGACATTGCCTTGACACTTGATTGACGTTCGACGTTCAGCGTCAGATCGCTTTAACGCCAAGACGAGTTACACCGTGAAATTAGTCTTTTTGGAGCAAATATGTGAAATTATGATTGACTAGCTGTGTGTGAGCTGTCTTCGTTCGCGTAGAATTTTGGGCATCCGGTCTGGAACATTTCACTTAACATCAAGTGATCTCCAAAAAGAACGCTTCTCACAAATGAATTTCTTTGTAATCAATAATTATTTTCATTTTCAATGAATCAATAATTCTTTACATAACGTCTCTGGCATGTCAACAGAATATCAGTTATGTAATATTAGTCCTAAAGTAGCTAAAGCCCTCCTTTTCAAAGGTTATAAAATTTTAATAGGTATTTACTTATTTAAATGAAACACATTTACGGTTTACTAACTAATATATCGCGTTTTAAACCGTTAAAGTGTTTCATTTAAATGTGTACTACTCGCGTAAACTATAGACAGGTATTTACTTCTCATAGTAGTATAATTCTTAAGTTAAACGTACTATTATGTAACTTGTACTTACGACAACTTACGTCATTACATATTAAATGTATGTCTTATTTAAATAAACCAGCTTTATAAAATGTGAAATGTATTGGTTAACTTATTTTTAATTTTATTTATTTACTGCCGACTTTTCGTATACCGTGCAACACCAGTGGTTAAAATGAGGGAGCAATAAAGAAATATAAATTAACTAAATTATTTCGCATTTTAAACCGTTTAAAGTGTTTTATTTAACTGTATACTACCCGCGTAATGTACAGAGAACACAATTTTTTGTATTTAAATCCTTAATCGTTACTTCTTTACAACATTTCCACCTAAAATACATTTGATGCAGCGTACCTTCAAATCGAATTCTTTTCAAAACACGAAAGCACACGTAATTTTCGTATTCCCCGGCAAAAAGCGATATAAGCCGAAACACGATTGGGAAACAAACAAACGTACTTTGTGCCGTGAATCTCCGGCGTTTTTGATTTATCGCATATTTTCCTTCATTTCCTTTGACGTCTGCATTCGTATGCGCTCTTATTTCATCCATTAGCCTCTCAGTTTGCGATATAAAGAACACACACTTTCCACGTAGTCCGTTTCTATTGCATATTGTAAAAGACTAAGGTGAAACTACTGGCTAAACATATAGCGGCGACAATACGAAGTGGAGAAGTTAGATTAAAAGTTTGTTTTGCTCTAAAACTGAGCTGTTGTCTATTATTTCAATATATATGTAGATAATATTATTAATGAATGCAGAAAACAAACAGAAATATCACAGTAACATATAAGGAATATAAGTAAAAAATACAGTGTTTTATTAACTGTACTCGCATAAACTATACGTAGTCTATAGTTTATGCGAGTACATTTAAATAAAACACTTTAACTGTTTAAAACGCCCGTCCCCCGTGTCTCCCTGTGACCACGGCTGCTGCAAAGCATCCGAAACGTCGACGTTACAGTGTTTTATTAAAAAAAATATAGTTTCACAGATAAATTCTTTAATGGTTCATGGTAAGTAGTAGAAGTTGTTCTTAGCATGTATTTGACTTGTCTAATTCTGAAATATCTTCTGTAGATGGCACAGTACAAAACCGATGTTTAAAACTACAAATATATAACTTCGAACAATGTAACGGCACTACATACTTCTATATTCGCGAAAGTTCGATACGAAATAATTGCACAAATAAACCTACTCCGTCTGAGTTATTCTGAACTGCTTGCATTTATTTATTTTCTTCGCTGAATGCTGAACGCTCCAACCTTTGCGATTTTATTTTTATGAAAAACGAACAGTAATATATGTTAACGAAAAAAAAAAAAATATATATATATCACACTAGCTGGTGCCCGCGACTTCGTCTACGCAGGATTAGGATTAGGATTACGTAGTATCGCGCATTTAAACTAAATGATGTCTATCATATCATACATTACATAATTGTGTGTAACTAACGTTTATGGCAGCGCACGCCAGAATAGCTCGCAGAAAGGTAGAGTTTACCTAGTTACTTGATACGTTATGTCATATTTTGGACGGCTCTTGCAATACTTTTATAAATTGTAGCCTATGTGTGATTCTGGTGTATAAGCTATATGAGTTATTAACATGGGAGTAACGAACATCCATTCACACATACAAACCTTCACGTTTGTAATATTAGTAGGATAGTACGCATTATTGTATATTAACGTTTAATTATTGTTAAGTGTTTTATTTTTGACATAACATTCGTTTTATATTATACTTTAATCCAAAGTTTAACGTTAGTAGTTCTGACGATTTCATTGGTATAATAGTAAAGATTCCCACCGGATCCAATTAATTTATAATCAATTTTTAATTTTTCGGAAACGTCTTGGACTTTCTATCTGGGTCACGGATTATCATACACAGATGATAAAAGTTATTAAGATTAATTATATCCATACCTAAAATATGTCAAAGTGCACCTTGTGAGATGATATATGGCAGGGATATTCCACCAACCATCATGTGAACCGCGTGCTTGACTTTTCCTCCTGTATTTGTATAATACAATTTAAGTAATCTTTTTTACAATTTAAGAAATACTATTATTGTTGTACTCTATTCAATTACGTAACACAATATTTGTACTTGCGAACAAACAACCTACATTTCGTACTCGAATACAACTATTCGACGAAACAAACCTTTCAAACGCAGCCTTTTGGCCTTCACTTACATATCTGTATATTATTCGCAACTAACCACCCCTTTCGCTGATTCGTCCCCTCCCCCCTCATGCCTCAGAAACCACACGAATACGCTCTCTTACATAACAATAATGCCCTTTCTACAGCCTCCCTGATGAATAGCTGAATAAACATACCTGTATTCGCTATACAATAGCGTTGCGACTTGCGACCCAGTTTTATTCTATAAATAAAGTTTCAGTACAGCGCCATCTGGCGGGTGGTTGTGAAACTTGGTCGACGTGATATGAATTTAACTGGAATTTTATAGTTTTGAGACGCTAGATGGCAGTGTAAAACATAAATGCCTAGGAGTAACTTTTATGGGTGGCGCTACGAGTTCCTTGTGGTCGTATTGTTCCTAGATAACTTGATTTTATGTTTTTATATTAATATATTGTTTTTTTTTCAGCTCTCCGAGCTCGAGCAACGGGTTCTGGAGGCGGAGGGCAGAGCGGAGGAAGCCGAAGACAAGGTATTATTTTGTTAGATATGCAAAAAATATTATGCTATCCCAGATTATATTGACACACAAATACATAAAAAGAAATATCATATTGTATAAGTAATTTTTAATAAGTCACTTAACAAATTACTTCTATTTTGTTTAAATGAATATATAGGAAGAAGGAAAGAAAACATTACTTATTTCAAAATTGTTACATTATTTATATCGTTGAAAAATTCTACTTTTGTTTGACTTAAGATCATACATTACTAGCGAAAGAAGGTTCAGTAGATTTTAGATGACAAAGAGGGCCCCGCCATCAGTAGTGCACAAGACGTTACACTGATGGATTTTACAAAACTAAATTATTAAGTCGCGACGTAAATCGGTCAGTTCCCCATTCAAAGTTCAAATATCACAGTCCATAACAATAATAGCTGGAAATCTACGTTCACAGACTACAATAGGGTATTCAACTAAACAAAACAGTTATATATAGATCTGTTGCAGTATTATTCAGTAGATGGCTTTCCGTTTTTTCCTCGAAAGCCTTTAGAATTTACAAACAACACTTCGGGGCATAAAATGCAAGTCAGTTTGAACGATTCATTAATTACACTCTGTACCTCGCTTTTAATCTTATTATGAATAGAAATTATATGTTTTAACTTATATCTGTAATATTTATTTGCTCAAACTTCCGTCTAATGAAAACTTAATGATATAAGCAAATTTAAAAAAATATGCAACAGAAGTTTTAAGCAAAAATTAAATTAATGTTTAAAATTTATAATACTAATATAATAATAACGCACAAGTTACCCTTATATGGGTCTACTGCACGCCGAAAAATAGGAAAAGTGGGTTAGACCTATAATAATTGACTATTGTTTTCCACTAGTTTGCGCAAATATATTTAAAACATTTCGCGTTTTAAACCGTTACAAGCATTTTATTTAAATATTATTTTGCTAATCAAATTAAGTTCTTACTTATATTTATTTCGGACAGAAAATTACCAATTACGATTCCGGTCTCTGAAATGTTAAGAGCCGCGATTTAAACAAATTACATGTACATAAAAGGGATGAAAAAATTCATCAAATAAGTCCCCAACAGTGGTTTTTGGCACATTTGCTAAACGCTATTGTGACGATTGAGCAATAGGGAGAGTCCGCTTAGGGATTACGAGGGGTAAAAATGTACAGATAGCAAAGAAAATACGTTTTTTAACCTTTAAATGCTTTAAGTTTCAACGTATATACTCGACGGAGACGGAGTCCTATTGGGTCTAACATGTATCAAAACAGTTTATATATATTTTTTTAAACATTTAACTACATGACTTCGTTTGATTAATAAAAAAATATGTCAGAATATCAAAATTCTGTCCTGGCCACTAACCACCATTTTCAGATGGAAAGACGTGTAGTACCTATCTAAATGTCTATATATCAGTCTGTGGATTTCTTAATATCTTCCAAAATATTTCGACAGCCCTGAGATTATGTGAGTCTATACTAGTGCTTGATTTTACTCCATGATGAAAAAAATGAAGGTAACTTGGGAAAAAAAATATTTTTTTGATATTTTAATATGTAAATATTTATTTACGCAAAAGTAACTAACGCTGAAATCGGAAATAATTTGATGAACATATAATCTATTAGAATACCCCAAACAAAAAAAGAACTTACAATAGCCGTCTCACCGATACGATTTGTAAGATAAAAACAAATGTTTATCTAAACGGTTATTGTGCCGTACCTTTAAACATAAAATGATGTTTTTGCAAACGGTACCAAAGCTAAGAGCCTCCGCACACAATGCAGCGCCAATCCGGGATGGCGCCTATTGATTTTTCTGGATTGCACCACTATGACTCATTCATGTTTCCCTGGTACTGTATTTGAAACATGTCTAGTGTTTTCCCACTCTCTTGGAAATCTTTTGAGTGTTTGTTTTTATTGAGGACTGGTAAAGCACTTTTTATTGTTTTAAAAGTCTCGCGTTTATGGGCTTTATATGACCTACCTTATGGTCGCTTTATTATCTGGTATTTAGAAAAGATATTAAAAGAATTGTATTCATAGTTGTTGAGTTAGTTTCCGAGAGCTTATTCCCATTAATTATTAAATACTAAGTTGTCGATTTTTCAGTATTGTCGCGAGTAGTACACGTTTAAGTAAAACACTTTAACGGTTTGAAACGCGATATATATTAGTTAAACTTATTTGAAAACTATTTACACGACGTTTCGGATGCTTTGCAGCAGCCGTGGTCTCCCCGTGACCGTTAATGTGTTTTATAGAAATGGGTACTAGAAGATGTTTAATGTTCCATTTAAACACAGACCTAAATCTTGTAGTTTACAATTAGGGCAGTTCATAGTAAATTCGTTTTTATGTTTTGATTAAATTACTTTCTCTTCTTCCTATTAGCTCAAATCCAGCGTGAAAATTGTTAGGTACCTAACCTACACAGATTCTCACAACATTAACTGAATGTTTCCATTTATCAAGCTATTTTATCGCACTTTGAGTAAAACAAAATGGCTCATAACAACCCCTTTTATCCATGCCGTCGCATTTGGCTTCAACGCACGCTATTCTACCCTCTATTCGTCAAACAATAAATCCTAGATCCCTATCAATCTCCATGTTGATTTTTCATCAGACACTGGCAACACTACCCTATTGCACGCGAAACGACCCTTCGCGGTTCGCGCATGCGCAAAAACGCAGCGCACTTCACGCCGATCTAGCACGCTTTCGCATAACTTCACGCGAGAGTACATAACAAATATTCTAAAAAAACCCGTGTAAAACCATACAACATCCATGCAGTCCGTCTCAACAAATTCTAAATCAACTAACCGTTTTATATAATAGCAAACGCCACAAGTTAATCGGTAGGATAGTTATCTAAGCGTCGATATAAGTACAACGAATTCTCGATATATTAGTAGACTCGCTGTGTTGATATGTCGAAACCTAAGACGTTAAAAGCCCATAGATTAAGTGCTGAATACGCTGAGAAAAACGGGCATCCCTTGAAGAAAGTCGACCCAGCAAACACGTAGCAGACAGTGAGTATATGTTTGTAGTACTCATGTTTCTTATCATTCGAGTTGCTCGCAGCGAAATCCATACAGAATCCTTACAAACATAAAGGCAGGAAGTGAGGCATGTGTTTGTTGTTTTATTAAACATAATTCTGCATTGCCTGTTTACTATAAGAACGTCACTTGAACGGAATCTGCTTAAGATAGGCTTCAAAAATATCTATAAATCTTCATAGATCTTTGATATGAATCAAATCCTTTCTTTCTAATAATCGCAATAGTAAATACGAATAATGAAAAATACAATTGATTTCTGTTTTGGTTTGTGTCAATCTTCTGTGGGTGAAATGCCTTTTAAAATAAAACTTATTTGAAAAATAGAAGAATACTATTTTTTTTTGTCATACAAAAGAGGTCTAAACAATATCCTGCCAGTGTTTTTACGACTAACAAAATTGAGATATATCTATGGACATATCTCAAATATTCTGTACACGAATTAATCAGTTTTTTTTTTATTTTATGAAAATTTTGTTGTAGATTATAACGTGATAATAATAAAAATATTTTTTCAATAACCTCGTGTTAAATTCTATCAATATGGCGCCGACAGCTGTTCGACGTACGCGTGCGCGGTACGTTTCGCGCCTAATTTCACGTAACGTAAAACGTAACTACTTATAACGCTTGATAATCACTTGATAGTACGGTCTAGACTACTGAGCTTTTAAAGTTCTGTATAAGCGTTGAACGTAAATTTTTACCTCCTGTAGATACTTATATAATCACGACATGAAGTTATTCACAGAGAGCTTTAGCAAATGACTTCATTTAAAAATAAAAATACATCTCAGTTGCGCGATGCAACAATATATACCATAGACAATTCGTCACAATGTTTATGTTTCTTATTAGAATCCTCTAGTCTGTTTTATTATTTGTTTTACGTTTCTTTATGCAAGAAACAAATTTCGCTTACGCGTTAACACATAAGGTTGATTGTTTATTAAATAACGAAAGACTCTATTGAACATACATATATTAAAAAAAATGAAATAACAACCTAGCACGCTGTTTGTATCAATTTTAGCTGTAAAACTTTATTATAAATTAATACTAAATATAATATTCGAAAATCTTAATAATTGTTCACGTGTTGTTGCACATGATGGCACTATATGAATTATAAATCGATAATTAATTGAAAAAAAAAATTACGACTCGGGCAGGAATTGAACTGCCATTCTCAGCGTTCCGTTCAGTTCCTCTAACCAATTAGTGATTGGACTCGGTAGCACATGCCGGTTCAAGGCCTGCCCGAGTCGTAAATTTTTTCAACTTATTATAGATTTTTAATTCACTAAGTGTAATAATTATTCAGGTTTTATTATTCATTATGTACAGTGTGGAATGTATGAGGGATACTTTTTTATTGGCCTTATTTGTACATCCCACTAACATCCAATACAATAAATAGTTCGAATACATTCTATAAATTAATGTCACAGCGGCCCGTAACTAATTAAAAACAATTACTATAAATTACAATTAGCAATCTTAACCATCTCGAACGTTTCCGCGTTAATCGATAGCTCATAAAATAGTGACTCACAGAGTGCAATAACCTACGGAGCTGTTCAGTCTGTGGATTAATCGCTCAACTAGGTCCATAGATTATAGAACGTTTTATTTGAGCTAGATAAAAGACCGGGGAACCAATTTTATTTTTACTCTTTGTCGGCTTTGCTCGTTTTGTTTGAAATGAGAATCTGTGGGATGTTAACTTTTTTTATAGTTTAAACTAGACGTGGCTAGGCTGTTAAAATTCGACCGTTCAAGGGATCCATTGCTTAGAAATTTGTTAACCATGAGAGGCCTCGGGTTCTATTATACCTTGGTTCGGAAATAGATATACAAATGCCCCCATGATCCAATAAGGGGAAAGCTGATTTAATTCATAATG